AGGGTGTCGGGGGTGGTGGGGAGGGTGTCGGGGGTGGTGGGAGGTGTCGGGGTGGTGGGGAGGGGTCGGGGTGGTGGGGAGGGTGTCGGGGGTGGTGGGGAGGGTGTCAGGGGTGGTGGGGAGGGTATGGGGGGTGGGTGGGGAGGGTGTCGGGGGTGGTGGGAGGGTGTCGGGGGTGGGGAGGGGTGTCGGGGAGGGTGTCGGGGGTGGTGGGGAGGGTGTCGGGGTGGTGGGGAGGGTGTCGGGGGTGGTGGGGAGGGTGTCGGGTGGGGAGGGTGTCGGGGGTGGTGGGGAGGGTGTTGGGGGTGGTGGGGAGGGTGTTGGAGGTAATGGCAAGGTAGGAAGGTGCGTGTGTGTAGTAACTCCAATATTCAACCATTACAAACACAAAAAAAATTAAATAAAAAAAAAAAAATATAAAAAATCATAAATTGTACACAAAAAAATCCCGGTGTTTTATTGCACCAACTAAATGAAATAAATTCGAAATACACAAAAAAATGATTTGTATAAGCAAATAAATTGGTTGTTTATTTTATATATACGAAAGAAGAATTACATCGTCTTATATTAATCCCTAGTCATCACCACTCCTCGTCACTCAGAGCCAGCGTCACTCTCAGAACCTCACTGTCACTCCAGCGTCAATCAACCCGTTACCGTCACTCCACTGTCACCCAAACCGCTACCATCACCGTCACTCCAGTCACTGTCAACCCGTCACCATCACTATCACTCACCGTTACTCCAGTCACTCACACCCCGCTACCGTCACTCTAGCGTCAGTCACCGTCACTCAACACACCGTCACCCACACAACGCCCCACAGGTCTTGTTAAATATCAAAACATGGAAATATGCAAATTGACCTTAGTGTTGTCCAGGCTTTGAGTATTGTGAGAGAGAGAGAGAGAGAGAGAGAGACAGAGACAGAGAGAGAGAGAGAGAGAGAGAAAAAAAAGAGAGAGAGAGAGAGAGACAGAGAGACAGAGAGAGAGAGAGAGAGAGACAGAGAGACAGAGACAGAGACAGAGAGAGACAGAGACAGAGAGAGAGAGAGAGAGAGGGAAACATCCATGAGCTCCCAAGACTCCCAACAGAGGCAAGAGAATGCTCATCGGGTGCACAGTACAGGTACACAATACAGGTACACACAAAGGTACAAATATGTCTAGGTGTACACAGCTTCAGGAACACGCATGTTTAGGCCTTTAGGTACACACAGCCTTAAGAACACACAGATCCAGGTACACAGCTACAGGTACACACAGGTCCAGGTACACACAGGTCCAGGTACACACAGGTCCAGGTACACAGCTACAGGTCCAGGTACACACAGGTGCAGGTAAACACAGGTGCAGGTACACACAGGTCCAGGTACGCAGCTACAGGTCCAGGTACACACAGGTCCAGGTACACACAGGTCCAAGTACACACAGGTCCAGGTACACACAGGTCCAGGTACACAGCTACAGGTCCAGGTACACACAGGTCCAGGCACACACAGGTCCAAGTACACACAGATCCAGGTACACAGCTACAGGTCCAGGTACACACAGGTCCAGGTACACACAGGTCCAGGTACACACAAGTGCAGGTAAACGCACACCACCACAGATTAAAAGGACAAGCGGTGTTCCCTCTCACAGGCGATAACACGCTCCACCACCCTCCTGAAATTACACCACAAGAGGGCAGGTCGTGGCAGCAGCACCGGTAGGAGGAGGCTCAACACGCCGTCCTCTATGAATACAATACGCACTTGATTAATCAGTGAAGGCGCTGGAGGACCCCAAGACGTGCTGGTATTCAAGATTTGAGATCGCTGAAGTTCGTACGCTATGTCCTGGTATAATTCAAGAGCTTGGGATTTGTAAATGTTCGTATGTTTATTTTTTTTCAGGAACTAGAGATATAAAAAATTCAACTAGCAGGAATATTCAAGATGACACACAAAGATAACTATTTAATTTCTTTTGTTATCCCACACAAAGAAAACGAGGGGGTCTTTGCGAGTCCCTACTATGAGATGAACCGCACTACCTTAAGACAGGACTATCAGGGGCCCTCACACAGACCGACCATCAGACCACACACACAAAAGGCCAGCTGCCCGTGTCCTGACAACACTTCACCATCCCAGGTCCTTTCCAGGCAGCGGTCGACTTAACTGAGAGGTAAGAAGCGATGAATAACACAGGTTCTCTTCTCCACGATATACATAAAAGAAAACGTGATATTCAGGCGGCCATAGGGATAACTATACTATTATAAGAGCTCACGTAATTCATTCTCAGTAATAAATGAAAGATTAGATGACCGAGATGTTTATAATGATTGGCTGTACCTATGGCCCAGACCAGACCAGAGCCATTCTTCACTATCATTCCTATCATCCTAGACACTCTTATCATCCTCACTCTGACTATATCATTCCCACACGTGGTTATGGTGGTTGTTACTTTTGCTTCTTGCCTCTTTTTTGTGGTTATTTGTTATTATTGTTGCAGTTCTTATTGTTCTTATTGTTTTATGTTATTGTTATTATCATCATCATTTTGTTATCATTGTTACTGTTATCATTGTTTTTAGTACTGCTGTTGTATTCGTTATTTTTTTGTTATTTTTGTTGTTATTTTCGTTGTTATTATTATTATTGTTGTTGTTGCGAGTCAGCCCCAAGAACCAGTGTGTAATCCCAGGGCTCACGACCAGACGCAGTGAGGATTAACTCGTACGACCACAACTTTACGACCCTCGCCAGCTCTGTATCTTCACTTGTATCAGGGTCGTATTGTGGAGTTTAGAAGAAATTTAACCTAAGTCCTTTTTCTGGTATATCAGGGTCGTATTATGGTGGTAATGAGGTCGTTTCTCTGATGTATCAAGGTCGTGTTGTGGTGGTAATCAGGTCGTATTTCCGGTATATCAGCGTAGTATTGTGGTGGTAGTGAGGTATTTCTAGTATATCAGGGTCGTATTGTGGTGGCAATGAGATCGTACTTCCGGTGTATCCGGGTCGTATTCCGGATAATGTAAAAATAAACTTCAATCTTTGTTATATCAAGGTTACATTCCGGAGTTGGAAAATATATTAATATATACCGGAGTCGTATTATGTTCTACCACAGATGATATCGTATCGCTTATATCAGGCTCAAATTCTGGGGATTCATAGCGCACGAAATTCTATCTTCGTTATATCAAGGTTAACTTCCGGAGAATTTCATTTTAACACAATCTGGTATTTTTTATTACATCAGGTTCATGTTCTGGGGTCTCCGTGCACAGTAACACGTACATGTTTTATATCAGGTTTGTGTTTTGGAGCTAATTGCAGGTTGTAAACAGTGAAGGGACGTGAGAAGGCTGCAACACACAGCTGACAGGTTGCAGAGCTAATATGTTGCATAGTTTGGTTTAACTTGGATGCAATTGCCAGCGAAGATTTGATTTAGTACTGATAAAACAGGGTTGTGTAGTGCCTGTCTGTCTGTCTGTCTGTCTGTCTGTGTCTGTATTTCACCCCATTGGAAATACTTGAAGGAAAAGGTCACACTTTTGCCCCTAAGAAAGAGGTCAAGGGTCAAAATAATTATCTAGGAGAGAGAGAGAGAGAGAGAGAGAGAGAGAGAGAGAGAGAGAGAGAGAGAGTAAATAAAGGAAAATAAAGAAATGAGGAGAGAATAAAAAACACAACAGAGAGGAAAGAAGACAACGGAGGAGATGAAAGATAACAGAATAATATAAAGATAACAAGATACAGAGGAGAGACAAACATGATAAAAGCAGAAGCGACAATTGATAAAAAATATTCCTAACCAAAAATACAAAACAATATTATCTCAAGTTGTTATTGTGGGCATAGTGGTGTTGCAATGTTACAGTGGTATCTTGTTGAAATATTGCAGTTGTGTCATGTTGCAATGCACCACGGTGTTATAATGCATTGGATAATTGGTGTTGTGTTGCAATATTAGTGTGATGCCTTGTTGCAATGTTCCAGTGGTAAAATTGTTGCATTGTTCCACGATGCAATACTCCTCTGGTGTCATGTTGTAATGTTACTGTGGTTTCATGTTGTGATGTTTTAGTGATACGACGATGAAACATTGCAATGTTTTATAATTTATCAGCGGTACAGCACCATGTTGCAATGTTCGTGATACAATGTTACAATGTTCTGGTGATAGTAAGCTCAAATATGTACATTGTTGCAGTGTTATATAATGTTACGGTCTTAAGTATATTAAAGGTGTGAATGTGTAACTACGGTCAGATAATTATTACTTTGAACTAAGCAAATGAAAGCAGAGGTTGACACACTTATTGCTTAAACTGATAACAAGAAGCGGAAGCACTTTCAATATATTTATAATTTGTAAAAATTAAAAACTATTTATGCCATTACTTTAAAACTTATAAAAAGTGTAACGTGTTGAAGTCCTTTATACTTACACGATACTTTCACGATAATTTAAGCTTACAAAAGTGAATAAAATAAACCGTTAAAACTCTTTAAAACGTATAAAAGTGAAGCACGTTCAGACACCAGATACTTAAAAGACTCATAAGCAGAGTGTAAGCACGTTGAGACACTTAAAGCTTATAAGAAATAAAAGCTTGAAACATATGAAACACTTTAAAACTTATAAAAGTGAAGCACGTTCAGATACCTAATTACTTAAACTTACGTATTAAGGGAGATGGAAGATGGAGCTATACATGAAAGTAAAGAAGGAGACTTTAATGAACACGTTAATACACGACACAGTCATCAGTCCAGTGACCTCTGACCCTGACCTTTGACCCAAACCTTTGACCTGATGAATGTCAAAATCAATAGGCTTTTTTTCGCTACTTCGAAAGACTCTCTGTATGAAGTTTGATTAAATTACCCATAAAGGAAATTAAGTTATTGTGCGGACAAGATTTTATCTATGAATGGACGGACGGACGGACGGACGGACGGACGGACAGTTGGAGGAACTAACAGATAAAAAGCACGATGATTATATCCCTTAATCTATTCAAGCTTAGGGTAAAAAAAATCCTTGTAAAGGGGGGCTATCTTTTAAAACTTATTACAAATGACTAAACCTTTGACCCTTAACAATGGGGTATAAAAACCCGGTCCTGTGTCCTAGTTATTAATTCAATAATGTGTAATTGATGACCACATGCAAATATATTCAGGTATTTATTGGTTACGGCTGGTCAAAACTTCCAGTGTGGAAAATATATGAACAATTGACTGAATGAATGAATAAAATTAATTACAAGTCCAGTGATTGATTAATAAAGTCTTCACTTTTTTTTACTGTGTTTGAAAATCAATCAATCAAAAAAAAAATTCTCTCTCTCTCTCTCTCTCTCTCTCTCTCTCCTCTCTCTCTCCCTCTCTCTCTCTCTCTCTCTCCTCTCTCTCTCTCTCTCTCTCTCTCTCTCTCTCTCTCTCTCTCTCTCTCTCTCTCTCTCTCTCTCTCTTTCTCTCTCTCTCTCTCTCTCTCTCTCTCTCTCTCTCTCTCTCTCTCTCTCTCTCTCTCTCTCTCTCTCTCTCTCTCTCTCTCTCTCTCTCTCTCTCTCTCTCTCTCTCTCTCTCTCTCTCTCTCTCTCTCTCATCTGACACGGAAGAGGACAGGTGTCAGAAGTTTTGAGTGGAAGTAAGATTGATCTCTGCACTGATCAACACGGCCCTGTGCAGTACTTGTGTTCGAGAGGCTGGCCAACTCCTTACCAACTCCTTGAGAGAGAGAGGAGCTAAATACCCCATCAAGGTATAGTTCAATGGAGGAGGACTTAAGCAGTTAGATCAGTCCACCAGTCACACTCCAACATCCCTTCACATTCCAGGGGAGTTTCCGTTCCAATTCCAAGATTCCTATTCATTGATCGTCTCCGTTCCTAGTTAGTTGCCGTTTTAGAATTATTCCCTAATTATTTCCATTCCCAGGTTACGATTGAATGAGGTTGGGGTGTAGGACCTCCGATTCACCCGTGGCTTTGAACCTCTCTACTTTTTGACCTCTTGACCTCTGATACTGACCCTTTGTACCTCTCGGCCTCTGACCTATGATATTGACCTCTTGACCTATGATATTGACCCTTTGTACCACTTGACCACTGATATTGACCACTTGTACCTCTTGGCCTCTGATATTGACCACTTGACCTTTGAAACTGACCTCTTGACCTGATATTGACCTCTGATACTGACCTCTGATACTGACCTCTGATACTGACCTCTTGACCACTGATATTGACCCTTTGACCTCTGATATTCAACTTACCACCATATGATATTGACCTTACGATATATAACCTAATCTTGACCTTTTAACCTCTGACCTTCATTGACCTCTCATACTCTCACCTCCAGGAATCTTTGACCTAAACCACTCACAGGAGAGGACACACAGTACAGCACCAACCAATCACCACACCGGATACAAAGATTAGATCCACGGGTTATCCAGTTCACTTTAAAAGAGTATATTCGATTATCCGGTTAACCAGGACTCCTCTAATCCGGAAAACATCGCCGATTATCGAGAAACCGTATTCTGGTGGCTGGATATTCGAGATGGAAGGCGAGTGTGATTGGTGAGCTTTTGGAGGTTAAAGGTTAGGTTAGAGTAAGTTAGGGTCAGGTCAGGTTTAAATGACACACACACACACACTAAATTATACATTATGTAAATTATACTGCAAGTAATTAATAACTTACAACCATGGATTTATAATTATGAACATTCATTATTCAATGACCTGTAGAGGTTAGAGGTTGTTCAGGTTATGGTGCTTGGCATACGACCCAGGATGTTTAGTCTTATCCGAGTGTCGCAGTGTGATGCAGCTCCCTTTCTAAGTAGTACTGTAGGTAAATCTTTAAATATTAAATAGATTGCTCGTATGTGGTAATTGGATACTTTGCTTCACACTTGCAATGCATCAAGTATGTTAGATAGTTAGATAAGTAATACATAAATAATGGCACTGCCAGTCAAAAGTGATTCATGGGTCAACGGGAGCATTTACCAGCCGATTATTTATGCACGTAATGTAAACACCTCTGACTATTGTTCGGCTTGACATTCCACGGAGGTGACTACTTCCTCCGAGAACCTTCTAGAAGCTTGACTCATAGATCGCTCTGGTGGCGAGTGCAGGAATTATTCTATATGGGCGTGGGATAACCAAGCCCCTTTATTAGTCTTGAGCTGGACCCCATAGAGTTAAGATCTACTCCTGAACCACCTCAGTACGAGCTCGCCTAACACAACAGCCTGCCTCAGTTCTAGCGCGACTCACACCGAGAACTCTTCAGTACTAGATCACGGGACCAGCCCAATTAACTATACAGTATTTAGTTTGTAAATATCACACTGTACATATACACCAGTCTTGTGTATAGTTAACCCCTTCTATGGAAGACGTAGACTACAATTATCGACAGTCTCAGACATTTTACCGACATCAACGGGACCCTAAATAACTAACTACAAGCAAATTACTTTTATGTGGGACTGTATAATGACAAGTCTCACTCCTCACAGGCCTTACAAGTCACACACACACACACACGATAGCTCTTCCAGACACCTTCCCCACACACAGCTCTGCCGGGTATAGATAAGGTCACAAAAATCACTTACAGGGTGAGTGAGTGAGTGTGTATATGTTTGTGTATATGTTATGTATGTGTGTGTGTGTGTGTGTGTGTGTGTGTGTATGTATGTGTGTGTGTGTGTGTGTGTGTGTGTGTGTGTGTGTTTGTGTGTGTGTATGTATGTGTGTTTGTGTGTGTGTATGTATGTGTGTGTGTATGCATGTGTGTGTGTGTGTGTGTGTGTGTGTGTGTGTGTGTGTGTGTGTGTGTGCAAGTGTGTGTGTGTGTGTGTATGTTTGTGTGTGTGTGTGTGTGTGTGTATGTGTGTGTATGTGTGTGTGTGTATATATGTGTGTGTGTGTGTGTGTGTGTGTGTGTATGTATGTGTATATGTATGTATATCGGCAAGGGATACAGTACAGGAATCCTCAAACCAAAGAAGAAAACATTCCCATTCCAGGTTCCAGATTATCAAAGGCTCTTAAGGTATTTCTGTCTCTTATCTAATTCTCTTAAGTTACTACACTAAGATATTCTGAAAAAAGTCCAAAGTTAAATTTTCTCTCGTAATTAAGAGCAGTGAGAATATATATAACCGATTCATTTAACGTGAGATAATGGATTCTTAAAGGTTCTTAAGTTAAATTTCCCTTAAAACTGAACACCAAGTTACTAAAAATTGGTTACCTTAAATTTAGCACCAAAATTTTTTTTTATTTAAATTGGCTACTTAAATTTTCTTACCTAAGACTTAAGCATTTCAGGGCAGATACATAAAATGTGTTACTTAAAATTGGGTACCTTAATAGGATTTCTTAAAATGGGTACTTTAAATAGTATACTTTAAACCAACACTTAAAAATATAACCCATAAAATTAAATACTTTAAGTGAAAACCGAAATTACAGTACTTTAAATTTAGTACCTAATATTGACCCTTTAATTAGAGTACCTAAAATTCGGTCCTTCATTCTTAAGTACCCAAATATTCTACCTAAAATTGAGCCTCAGATACCTAAAATAGGGAGGTTAAAATAGGGTGCCATCAGGAGTGACAAGAGACCAAAAGGAAGGGAGTGCCTATTATTCTCCAAGGAGTGTCTTCCTTTGAAGAGGAGGTAGGTGAAGGTAATGTAAGGGAGTTTTTTCTTCTTCATCTTTATCTTCTTTCTATCCCTATTTTCTTCCTCCTCTACTCTTCTCCCATTCTCCTCCTCTCTCTCATCGCTCTTTCCCATTTCTATTGCTCTTCTCTCCCTCTATCCTTCTCATTCCTCTCTTCACCCCTCCCTTCTCCCCACCCTCACCCCTCACCCCCTACCCTCCCCTCACCCCCACCTCCCCTCAACCCCCACCTCATCAAGTTAGTCTCGTGGCCACATCCTTCAGTTAACTTTTCCTCGCCAAACTTTTGATCTTATTACAATTTGGTTTTCAATGGAACGAGAAACAAATATTTGACAATAATTGACAACTTCTGAAGCTTATGCGCTCCCCCCCCTCCCCCAAGACTTTCTAAAGGAGGGGCTGAGGGGAACGTCGAAGACATAATTATGGTAAAAAACAATAGCGTGAAAATAAAGGTTTAAAGAGAAATATTGGCATAGTATAATATTAACAAAACCAATAACCTGAATAAAGAATTATATGTTAATTTTAAAACTCATATTAACTTAAAAAAATAAACCAAGTTAAAAACTATATAAACTAACATTCACAAGTGACAAAACCACTAAATGCAAATTATTAAGAGTACGTAAATAAATATCAAAATTACAGTAAAATTTTAACATCAATATAAGACCAAAGGTGAAATAAGATTGCTAATATAAATAAAAAAGTTAAATTGGCTTTTTAAATTAAACACGAACGCAAAGACTGAGGGGTCGACCCAAGCGTGTGTTACCTCAGGTGGTCAGATCCTCACCTTGTGCGATGGAGAAGGTCCGTGGCCGACTTGGAGAACGACCGACGCATAGATCCGCTCTCGTGACCATTTTCCCGACGATTGCCCGCGTCTGCAACACAAGACAGACATGGGTTAGCAACACTGCAACACATGAGGTATATACATGGGTTAGCAACAGTGCAACTCAAGTGGTTCATGGGATAGCAACACTGATACAAGGGAGAAAAACAGGTATACAACGCTACAATTCAATAGGTAATCTTAGCACTAATGAAACACAAAGATGCAACAAATCTGCAACAAAATGGGAAATGATTACGTACGCTGCAACACACGCAAGGGCAAATACGTCATAATTCATAGCGAAAAAGTAACAAAATTGAATCACTTTTGCAACAAGATACAACACCAGGTCACACATTGCAACAAGTGACCAAAAAATTTGTGCAATACTCTATGAAAACCGAGAAAAATTAAAGTGCAACAAATTACGATAGTATAAACATTGCAACACTTACCTAGAAAAACCTTGCAACAGTAGACTAAATAAAGAACAACAATATGCATCAGGGAACCAAATTAAATACCGTATGCCAAGGGTTTTGATTGAGTTACCTTGCAACATTGACCCAAATTAACTCGTACTGTAAAAATAAAATATTAAGGAACTTTGCAACAAAATTCTAACTTAAGATCACCTTGAAACGAGAAAATTAAGAATGATTTGCAACAGGAACATGACATATGAACATCTTGCAAAATAAAAGTATCATGTGTAAATTTGCAACGAGAAAACATGCCAAATTTGCAATATAAACCAAAATTTAATCCCTCTGCAACATGCAACCAAATTAGCAACAGTCTGCATCACGAACCTAAAATAACTTACAACAAACACCAGAATTAACTCATTTTGCTTCAAGAAATTACACAATGAGAACCTTGCAACATGAACCTAAATTAAGCAACATTGCAACAATATAGCCAAATTAGATTGCAATACGAGAGAAAAGGACAAAAAAAATGCTCAACATCAAGGGACTAGCATGGAAAGGAAATTGCAATGTAATAATGATTAAATTCATGAGGTGTGAGGAGGTGGTGAGTGTAGGTCTTGGGGAGGGAGAATAGGTTAAGTCACGAGAAGAGACAAAATGGTGATAAAGAAGAAGAAATAGAAGAAAACGATGATATTAACAAGAGTGGTAATAACAACAACAATAGCACAACAAAAAACCACCAACAAAAACAAAATAACAACACAACAACACCACCACCACACCACCGGATCAACACACCACCACCACACCACCGGATCACCACACCACCACATCAACACACCACCTACAACATCACAACACCACCAACCACAACACACACCACCCACAACATCACAACACCACCACCACCACACCACCGGATCAACACACCACCACCTCCCACAACATCACAACACCACCACATCTACACACCACCTACAACATCACAACACCACCAACCACAACACACACCACCCACAACATCACAACACCACCAACCACCAACCACAACAAGCCTCAACTCAGGTGAAGTTAAAAATATTACACTAACATAAACAGTTAACATTACATTCTCACCTGTATGACTTAACTAATTAAACTCAACCCTTACCATTGTATAATCGTTGAGTCACACATGCTTCTATATCTCGCATCAATAATCAGGGATTCCTAATACAAACAGACTAATGGTAGTTGTGTTCTGACCTCACTAGGGGAAAGGTCACGGCAGGGTTAGCTCTCGAGGGATTATTATCAGATATGACCAGTGCTTTGTGTGGTTTTGGGTGTGCGAGTTTGTTGACCAAACTGGAGTGGTCCATGGAAGAATTGGCGAGGGCCAAGGAAGAAATTGAGAGGGCCACGTTGGAGAACCTGAAATTAAAGGAAAAGCTGGCGAGGTTAAAAGGGGAGCCAGTGTCTGACGAAAACTCAAGCGAGTGGAAGGTTGTGAGTAGTGGGAAGACGAAGCTGGTGGTGAAGAAGTACACCAAGGATACGACAACAACGACAACAACAACAGCTAAGTGTACCAACCCGTTCAGTCCCTTGATAGACAAATTGGACGTTAGTACAGTCAGGGACAGGGCTGACAAGGAAGGTATAAAAACTTTAATTGTTGGTGACTCACAGGTAAGGTACATGGACAGGGCCTTTTGTGGTAAAAACAAAAATAGGATGAGGGTGTGTTTGCCAGGAGCTGGGGTGGGGGATATAATTGACAGGATGGACAATATCTTGTCTGGTAATGGGAACAAACCCATTATCTGCCTCAGTGCAGGAGGCAATGATATTGGCCGGTGTAGGAGGGAGGAGCTTCTTGATAAGTTCAAGGCAGCTATAGATCGTATTAGGTCTAAGGGAGGGATTCCTATCATATGCGGTGTCCTGTCTAGAAGGAGAGTTGGCAGTGAATGGTTGTCAAGGGCGGTTGGTGTCAACGACCGTCTTGACAGATATTGCAAGTCAATATCGGTCCCATTCATTGACAACTGGGACAACTTCTACGGCAGAAAGGACCTTTATGCTAGGGATGGGGTGCACCTGTCTCGGGATGGGGTGGCAACCCTGGCTGGGTCTCTAGAGGGGGCAGTTCAAAGGATATCGAAGTCTTTAAACTGCTAGGGGAACATATGGGCACTGGGGTGGGGGAAACTGCAGTGGGAGCGGGTAAACAAAGTGAAAGATTACAGAGAAATAGTGTTAGGAATGATGACAAAACTAAATTAAACAAGGAGTTTAAAACTAAACGCGGTAAAGGGAGGACTCAGAACACGACTAACTTAAATGTCTACTACGCGAACAGTAGAAGTATGAGAAACAAAACGGATGATATTAGGGCCTTCGTATGTACCGAAAAAATCGATATAATAGCATTCACTGAAACATGGATCAACCTAGACTCACGTGAGTTGCCGGTCGAATACCAAATTGCGGGTTACAAATTGTTCCATACCGATAGGCAGACCAGGAAAGGAGGCGGAGTAGCAATCTATGTTAGGGATAATCTGAAGTGTGAAATAAATAAGGAAATAAAAACTGAGAGGAATACAGAAACAATTTGGATAGAATTAAGCGACGGTCGGGAAAAATTAATCACAGGGGTAATATATAGACCCCCCAATCTTGATAGCGTCAATGAGCAACTTATCTGGGATGAAATGCGCAGGGCTTCCATACACAACAAAGTCTGTATAGTAGGCGACTTTAACCTTGGCCAAATAGATTGGACTGTCCTTACGGGTAACTCAGAATCAGAGGATTTTCTCGAGACGATCCAGGACTGTTTCCTAAGTCAACATATAACCGAACCCACACGGGGTAATAATATACTAGATTTAGTTCTGACGAACAGAGAAAACCTCATTAACAATGTCGAGGTAGGGAACGAACTTGCAAACAGCGATCACAAAGAAATTCGATTCCAGTTAGATTTTCAGGGCAGACGTAAGGAAAATTCCACTAAAGTACCAGATTTCAGAAGGGCAAACTTTGACAGTTTAAAGAGGCAGCTAGAGAGGGTGTCACATTGGCCGTAAGTAACCTGACAGATGACTCCTACCTGATAACGAGATTCGAGATTGCCGAGTTCCACGACAATTTAAATAATGAGTTACTTAATGCACAAAGGCAGAAACATACCATACAAAAACTCAGATCAGACAACAATGACCCTAATGATAAATAATTATTTAAAGAACATCACACAAAGGAAGGCTATAGGGTAGAAGGATAAAGCATGGCGAAATTCATCTCCAGGATTATTATAAGATATTGGCGAGTAGGGTTAAAACTGAGATAAGGAAAGCCAAGAGGAATAATGAGGTAAGGATAGCGGGCGGAGGCAAAGAAAACCCCAAAGGATTCTACCAAATGTATCAACCAAACATTAGAAAAGATTGGACCAATACTGTCAGATACTTGCGAGCTCACTGATAACGACGGAGAAATGAGCAATAATTTGAATAAATATTTTCAACAGTTTTCACCACTGAAAAAATTTAAACATGATACCCGAGGCACCGACTCTATTCAGAGATAGTGAAGAAAACAAATTTAGCGAGATAGTAGTGACTAGTAACGATGTTAGTAAGCAAATAGACAAACTAAAGCCTAATAAGTCACCTGGTCCCAATGAAATATTTTACAGAGTTTTAAAGGAATAAAGGAAGAGCTTAGTATGCCCTAAGAAAGTTACGTGAATATGTCTTAAAAACAGGTAGTGTACCAGAATCCTGGAGGATAGCGAATGTAATACCGATTTTCACATGATAGATCACTATCCTCTAACTAACGCCCAATCAGTCTAAACATCAATAGTAGGCAAATTACTGGAAGCAATCATTTCAAAGTCTATACGAAATCACTGGAGAAGCAATTGATTGGATCAATGATTCCAGCATGGCTTCACAAGCGGACGTTCTTGTCTAACTAATCTATTAACATTCTTTTCATCAGTTTTCGAATCGGTGGACGAGGCACAATTATGATGTGGTATATCTCACCTTAGCAAAGTTTCTCGACCGCTCCTCCAGGAAATTAATTAGAAAGGTAGAAGCACATGGCATCAAAGATAACATCCTAAATGGATTAGGCGTGGTTACAGGACAGGAAACAAAGTAGTGAGCATTAACGCATCAAGTCCCATTGGAGCAACGGCCACAAGTGGAGTTCCCCAAAGCTCAGTACTCTGGACCATTATTATTTATTATATACATAAACGACATAGATATCGGCATAGACAGCAACATAAGTAACTTGCTGATTACACTCAAAATAGGACGGTTATTAAATCTGACGAGGACTCCTCAAGAAAACTGTTAGAGGAAGATCTAAACAAATTTTTCGAATGGTCTGAAAAATGGCAGATGAAATTCAACGTGACAACTGTAAAGCACTCAGTATAGGAGATGTAAACAGGAAACCAGATACCAGATGAAATGTAATGATGCCATAGAGAAATCCGACTGCGAGAGATTTAGAGTAATGATAAGTAGGAACCTTAAGCCAAGTAACAATGTGTTTTTGCTCGTGAACAAGGCTAATAAAGTACTTGGGTTCATACAGTT